CTTCGATTTGAGAGATAGCTTGTAAACCTGTAAACTCCTGCATCCTCCAAGGTCTCCAACATTTGCTGGTGATTCAATTCTAATCTTTTTCTAATCTCTTCTGTTAACTTAGCAATTGCATCTTTGGTTGATATTCCCTCTCGAAAACCGAATTGCTTATCTGTAAAGATATTTACTGCTGTCCAACAATTTAACTAGCCTATTTCTCAATGTTTTCTCAAATATTTTAGCTATAATTGTGATGACAGATATTGGTCTATAGTTGTTTATACTTTCTACATCACCTTTTTTATGGACAGGTGTAACTAAAGCTACTTTGAACCCTTCTGGGACTTCATTAGAAATATAAATCCGGTTGATTAAGTGACATAGCGGCATTGAAATAATGTCACTAGTATATTTAAATATTTCGGACTTCAAGTTGTCAAAACCGGGCGATTTCCCATTTTTTGATGTGTTAGTGATTGAGGTTACTTCAGTTACATCTACCGCCTCTAAGAAAAATGTACTTTGATTTATTTTTCTTTGCGGTCTATTTTTGTTTGGCCTCACAATGCCTTCAGCATAGTATTTGCCAATATTTACAAAGAAATCGTTAAACTTGTTCGCAATTGTTATTGGCGAATCACATAATTTATTTTCATCAACTATTTCCTTGACTGCACATTTAGAACTGCCTTTACAGAGTTTATTAACTACGTTCCACAAGTTCTTAGGAGAACCTTTGATTTTATTTATTTGTTTCTTGTAAAAATTGTATTTAGCATTTCATATGAGTTTTTATCATTTTTTCTTATATTCCAGATATCTCATCCTCACCTCATCATTTTCTGGCTGCATCAAGTACTCAGAATATAGACGATTTTTTTCATTAACATAATTTTCAATACCTGATGTGATCCAAGGCTTCCGCTTGATCTCGCGCCTATTCAATTTTTTTGTTGTATTTTTATCAGTTAAAGATCTTAATATGTCACTTAGGTAACCAAAATGTTAACTTTATTTTCAGGGTAATAATTGGTCCAATTGTATTTATCTAGGTCTTCTCTTAGGCCATTATAATTGATATATTGAATTTCTCTAACAGAAGTATTCGCATGATGTTCTACCTTATCTGTTGGTATCACTAGGATTGTGGCTTTATGATCAGTTATGTGATTTTCCAAAACCGTGGACATACAATTTCTCTTAAAATTTGACACATTAGATTTTAAAAAAATATGGTCAATACAATTGGCTACATTACCATGCATTCTCGTATTGTTATTTATCATAGATATGAAGTTCTGGTCACTCAAGATATTTAGGTAATTGTGGGTGTTATTATTCAACTCATTCGACCTCAAATTCATATCGCCTACCAGAATATGAGAAAAGACTTGGGAATTGTTTGTTTGTTGTAGGTATTTTTCGAGATTTTCTATGAAAACTTCCTCACTGGCTGATGGCGACCTATATACTGAAGTAATGATAACTTTTTTTGACTTGTTCAGAAATATTTGAATTTGTATTGCTTTGCAGTAACCAATATTTATGATTTTATATACGTAGTAAAAGTTTTTCTTTAAATAAACCACAACCCCATCATTTCTGTTAAATTCACCATTGTTATAGATCATGTTATAACCTGATAGGTGAAAGAGACTGGTGTCTGGTATAATGAATGTTTCTGTAAATATAACGCAATAGTACTCACAGTTCGTTTGATCAAATAATATTTTGGCCTCATCAATGTGTTTTCTTAAACTGCAGATGTTTTGATGATATAGCTTTACGTTCCAATACTTATTGTGCCCCTACACGTTAGAAACCTCTAATGTGTTTATTTCTATATTTACATCACGTATGTATTCCTCCATGAAATTCGTATACAGAAAAAAAAAATAAAAAAGAAATTTAACCCAGAAGTTACAAGTTACAATTTCATAAAGAATTAAAATATATAGAAAAATTGGATACAAGGATTGACATGATTTCCTCTCCCGAAATAATACTTAGGTTCTAATAGTTATCATACAATTTATTTGAAAAGCGACATATCTCATCTAAAAATGGGCAAAAGACAAAAGGAGTATATTCTTATTTTTTTTACATCAATACATTGTTCACTCCATTTCCATTAATATGAACTAAAATCCATTTCCCTCAGTACACACGATTCCAAAATACATAGTTATATGAAGGAAAAGACTTTAGAAGCTCGAGAATTTCAACTATATTAAAACACGAAAAACAAACAAAATATATCACTGAGTACCATAATGAAGTTTAATTATGGTACTCAAGCTCAAATTAGTTCGCCACTATTGATCTGCACATTTTCATAATGGCAAAACTGAAGCTAGTTTTGGAAGAGCCTCGTAATGCCACTCTCTGACCTTATTAAATAAATCTTTCCATTTACGTTCACATATATTTTGCCACCGTTTGTCCACACATTCTTCAATAAGATCTTCTCAATTAGTAAGGACGTCATCTTGAGTCGAATTGGTGCAAGGTCTTCGGCCACCACAACTCCAGTGCCCTGGAGTAGCCTTTTTTATCGTAAATGAGTCTCCTTACTGCACCATCACTTAGCTTGAGGAATATTACTCTACATTTTCCTTTGGTTTTCAAACTCTGAAGTATATCTCGATATCATTGTCCTGCAAATCTATTGACAGACTAGAGTTGAGAAAAGTTGTATTTTCTTTTTCATCTTCAGCAAGGTTGAATATTCTTAGATTATTTTTTCTAAGCCGCTGATCTATATCATCACATCCTGATTCCATTTGATGCAAAACCTTAATTTGATTTTGCATTTCACTTGTTTCAGCTTCAGTACGTGTTTTAAAATCAGCAATACCCTTTTCCATCAGAGACAAATTCCTTTCCATCGTTTCCAGTTTTTTACTTACAGTTTTTGCTGTGGCTTCTGCTACCTGGTCAGCGATCTTAGTTATGAACGTTGGATCATTTAAACTGTTTGTAAGGATATGACTCACAAAAATTTTAATTTCCTCGCACGTTTCGCGTGTGAGCACCATTTTTTCTACACTAGGAATTTTCGCCTCCTTGACCGAAGATACTTGCCAGACCTCAAAATTTTTCTGTTCTTACCACACTTCTATCGCTTTGAATCGGGAGCAGAATTATTACCGTCTACTCAAAGCAAACCATGTATCTATTTACCCAACAAACCATGTATCTATTCACCCAAGTAACAATCAGATTTCTATATTGTGACCCATGAAATTGTTGCCTTCATGTTTTTCTTCATTTTTGAGACTGCCTGACCTGAAACAGGACTTCAATATTGTAAGTGGCTCATTATTAATATTGTAATACTCGTAGAGTCTTTGGCGAACGCTACACGTTCAATAATCATCGCGATACTTGGATCACGATCCAATATCGTGATATCTATTGATTGTGTAGAGTGATATATTGATGGATCACGATCCGTATCGTAGGATTTCTAGAAATCTTGAAATCCGTGATCAAACCATGGATCACCCGATATATATTGAACGTTTAGTTTCACCGTAATATATATCACGTCAGTACGCCGTCTATTTTAGCCAAGAGCATGATGTCTGATGACGAAAGCACGTGTGTGGAGCCTTCGGAGGGGACGGCGTCATCTCTTACAACGGAACAACAACATTTAAAATCATTTATATTGAATTTGGAAAGTTTGCCAGAAATATGGGACTCTTCAAGAAATTATTATTTAAATAAATTGAAAAGAACTCACGCTTATGAAAAGTTGGTGCTGATCTACAAAAAAAATTAAGCCGAATGCAACAGTTGACGACGTATGGAAAAAAATAAACGCACTAAGACCAAATTACAGGAAAGAACTCTTGGAGTCAAAATGTTCGGGAGCTGGCACGGATCAAATATACACATCAAAATACTGGGTTTTTCATATGCTGAAATTCTTGAAAAAGACTGAACAACCTGTTGGCCTGGTAAGTGAACTTTTATGTTTTAGTTTTTGTAAAGATCTGAACTCTGATATTTTAATAAATGTTAGATATGTTTAATATTGGCAGTACGATTAATTTGGCTAGGGGGTACTTATGAATTCAGTTCATTAAGTGGGAATTGGGGTTCAAGCTATTAAAATCTATACCAGCAAATTAATTAAAGATGCAGTATATACTTCGTTTTCAAGGTTATCGGAATCATTCTATTTCCAACTGTATTTTTTGCAATTCATGCAAGCATTGTTACTTGTAAGAATAATGTGAATAAATCCAATCAAATATTTAGGGGTAACTACTTTATTACAAGTTCATAATTGAGTATTTACAATTTTCATCTCATTATTATAATATATACAAAACTTGTCTCTTATAGTCTTGTACACACTTGGCTGAGTTCCGGAACATACTGCGCTGCATTGTCATTAAATCAAAATCGTCGCTATTAGAACTTGATGATGCATACATTTGTGGATCTTTCTTTAGCAAGTAATTGTGCAGGTAGCAGCATGCAGCTGTCACTTTTGTAGCTTTCTCTGGACAGAGACTAATAGCTTTATGAAAAACTCCAAACTTGGTAACAAGGATTCCAAAAGCACATTCAACCACACACCTAGCTTTTGACAATCGTTGGTTATATTTCTGTTCTTCCTTTGTCGCTGTTTTTTGTGGATATGGTTTCATTAAATTAGGACCTAACGCGAAGGCTTCGTCCTCTATAAAGACGTGTGGATATGGCTCTAATGTATTAGGAAGAGGAGACGGTTCTGGCAAACTTAAACGACCTTGTTGTAAAAGCTCCCAGAATTTTGTGTAAAAAATGACACCACCATCTGATACTCGGCCATTGCATCCAATATCAACCATAATAAACTCTTTTTTGGCGTTTGCAATAGTCATAAGGACAATACTATAGGTTCCTTTGTAATTATAATATAGGGCTCCTGAACCATGTGGATGCCTTATTCTTATATGCTTGCCGTCGATTGCGCCGACACAGTTGTAAAAATTGTGTTGTATTTGAAAATCATAGGCAACACTTTTCCATTCTTCTGCTGTAGTTGGCATCTGAAAAAAAGTGCCTGATCAATATTTTTACTTTCTGGAACTTAAATCACAAGGTGAAGACGAGTCAAACTATAGCGAGAAAGATTCACATGAAGTAGAACAACAAAGCCACTCTGGAGAAGAATCAACCGGCTCATATTGTTCGTCTATCAACGTTCTTGCTCTTCCTCCTCGAAAGAATAGAAAAACTGGACCTACAGTAAGACAAAATGAGCTCATACAAAAAGCCTGTTCTTTATTATCATCTAAACCACCATCATCAAGTAACGTAAATCCAATAGCATTATATTGGAGCCAAAAACTAGAAAAGATCCACCCAACTCAGAGAACGTTTGCTGAAAAGGCAATTAATGATATTTTATTTGAAGCAGAACTTGGAACTTTGGAAAGAGATTATGTACAAATGAATATGTCTCCGTATAGTCGTACCGGGCCTGCGTCTTTGACATCTCCCTATAGCGAGAACCCTACAGCATCACCAGATTCACAGTTTTCAGTATCTGGATCAAGTACATATGTCCAAATTCCATCTCCTTCTCCTCCTACACACCCTCCAAACATTAATGTTGTATACACTAGTTCATCGCAGGTTTTGTCTTCAAGGTCCACACCACTACAAATAAGTACCTCAAACCAAAGCGAAATGAATGCAACTAGCATAGATTCACCTGTATTGAACCACACTGACATCACTCAACAACCAGATACTCGTTACCTAATCCATATTCCTGAATCTAAAGAAAACAATTACACTTTGTCCACTCATTTTACATCATTTAAAGGCGATTAAAACATGTAGATGCTTTCCTTACGGTATAAATATAATATACCTATAGTGTATCTAACGAAGCTACAAAGTAATCGTAAACAGTGGTTGATTCGTGATCAACGCGTGATCGGTAGCCATGGCGCTCTGTCGGCCTCTTCCTGATTGGCTTGTAGCGACGAGCCTCCAGACAAAGTCGCACGGTTGCCACGCTCGGCGAGTTTTCGCCAGAGTGGTTGATCACATTCGCATGGATCACAAATCAATCTGTTGGTGCAATACGTGCAGTAACTGTTGTAAAGGACATTATATAACAATAAATGGCATCACAAAGGTATATTCCAATTTGATCTGCAGCAAATTATGAACGGCATATACGGAGATGCGAAAACAAGCTCAAAAAGGTGAAGAAAATTTTTGTGCAATCTTTATAGTTAAATTTTTCCTAAGAGATAGCATCAGTGAGGAAAATTTTTTCTATTGTCTTATTCTTCACATTAATGCGATGTCGAGGTATGTGGCCCTATCGCAATTGAAAATAAGGTTTCGATAATCCTTCCATAAAGTTTCGATGAGTACATCTGAAATAACCTTGAGATATTCTTCAGGGAAATACAAAAATCTCCTTTTATGTTTTTTTGTGCAGATTTATCTATTAAAATCCTATCCGCAATCTATTTTCCGTGCACACACCTTCAACCGAATGTATGCCATATATGATATTACCGTTTCCAACTTTCACCAAGGTTAATAGGAACCATAACAGCTCCCTACCCTTCCCCCCTATAAGAATATCGATTTGTAGCCTCACATTTCAAGGTTAGACTTCTTGTAATGTTTCTGTTCAACATTCGGCGATTTCTGACAATTTTCCCAATAAAACATGATCATTGTGACATTAAGCCTGGCAACGCTGCATAGTAGAGGGAACTCTCAGCGTCACGTTGATGGTTCGTCACCACGCACAGGATTGTAATCAGTTACGGATACCCGTTTATGAGCGCGAACGTTTTATGCACGTCTTGACTTGATTTTTCTTGCGGAAATTTAATATTAGTCTAAAATGTCTGACACAGATACAGCTGATGAAGTGGTTGAAATCAGCTTAACGCCACCCAGAAAAAGGGCTAAAAAGCTTCATCTTAGCGCAGGTGAAAAACAAATTATTTTAAATATCTACAAGAACCAGATGCAAGAGAATAGTGGATTGGCTATAGAAAATATCGTATGTAAGGTTGCTGAAATTTCTGGAGTAGGTCGATCAAGTGTTTACAAAATCTTGAAGGAATATAGACAAAATCACTCACTATCTGAGCCAAAAACATATCCAGCGAGAAAAAAAATCATCGAAAAAATAGATGACTTTGACAAAAGTGCCATTAGAAGAAAAGTACATCACTTTTTTTTCAGGAATGAAATACCTACAATAGATAAAATATTGAAGCAAGTGAATGATGATGAGGACCTGCCAAATTTTAAAAGATCTACGTTCCATAAGCTGTTGAAAGAACTAGACTTTCGATTTTTGAAAAGAGGAAGGAATAGTTTATTGATAGAAAAGGAGGAAATTGTTATCTGGAGGAGAGAATACCTTAGAAAAATTAGGCAATTCCGCGCTGAAGGCAGAACAATTTATTATTTAGACGAAACATGGGTGAACGCGGGGCATACGCAGGGAAAGGTTTGGGTACACAGATCTGTGAGGTCCTCAAGGCAGGCTTTTTTAGATGGCCTTTCGACGGGATTGAAAAATCCTGCAGGTAAGTTTCGAAGTATATGAACTTTTTTTAATGCAGATAATTCATTTTCTGATCGAATCAATGATTTGGAAGCTCCGAACTCAGTTTTGCTATCTCATCCAAGTTTCTGAGTATTTCCTTCACCCAAAAACTAATCTAAGACCCTATCCTACACTAACCTAAAAAGAGTAAGTTGCTTAATTTCGTCATTTAGTGCGCTCGCTGAGAAGTAAAGTAACTAATTACTTTCAGGCAAGGGAAAACGCCTGATCATTTGCCACATAGGTAGCGTAGATGGATTTGTTCCTGAAGCATTGTGGGCATTTGAATCCAAAAAAACTGGAGACTATCACGAAGAAATGGATGGTAACTCATTTGAAAATTGGTTCAAAAAAATTTTGCCGACACTTGATGATAACGCAATTATTGTGATGGATAATGCCCCGTACCACTCCAGAAAATTGGAAAAAATTCCAACAATGGCCACCAAAAAGGCAGACATTCAACAGTGGCTTGTCTCAAAGAAGATCGACTTCGACCAAACAATGGTCAAAGCTGAGCTGATAAATATAGTCAAGCGACATAAGTATAAATATGATTTAAAAATTGTTGACGAAATGGCCAAAAACCAAAATAAAACGATTCTCAGGCTGCCTCCCTATCACTGCGAACTGAATCCTATCGAGTTGATTTGGGCCGACATCAAGCAATACGTGGCGTCAAATAACAGCACTTTTAAGTTTTCTGACCTTAAAAAACTGTTTGATGTTGCTGTCGATAGAATTACGCCAGCAAAATGGAGAACATGTATTGACCATGTCCAAGAGAAGGTTGAAACCAAAATGTGGGATATGGACAATATCATTGACACCCAAGTTGAACCCCTTATAATTGACATCAACAATTCTGATGATTCAAGCTCCTCGGAATACAGCATATAAATCGATTGATACCATTAAGACTGGCAGTTTAACGGGTTTTTTGGCAAGACAGGTAAGTTCATTATAGACTGCAATCAAAGTGTAAGTTTCTAGTTATTAATGTGGAAATTCCAAATTTATAATTACACAAAATTAGGGTTAATTTAGGAGTTCCAAAGCATAATAGTGCCATTTTGACCTTCTTCCTATTTCTCATGTAAATTTTAATAGCAATCAAACTAACAAACTTTATGGAGTCTGTAATAAACTTTTGTACTACTACTACTACGTCTGTAGTTTCTTTTTGCTCAAAAAAATTTGCTCTGCATTGTGAATAGAAGGTTGATTTGTAAATATTATTGGGTATATATGTAAGTTAATAATAAAATATGAACAATTTCAATTGAGATGGTCCACAAGTTTTTTTCGTGTGCGTTTTAGTAACATTTTGCTGAAATGGTGAATACAGAATTTTTTGCACTGATTCCTAATGTCGAAATATGATTAGAAAGGCGTGTTATATTCCTAATAATTTACTATGCTTTTGATATAATTTACAGCAACACATATCTTGTACGACATTTTTTGATAGATCAGTCACAATAGCTTGATACGGCCCTGTAGCGTCTCCTACGGTTAAGTTCTTGATCACGTGCAATACGGGTGTATATGTTTGATTTTACTTTGTTTCTTCGATGGATACAGTTTACTATGATTGAGACTTTTTTATTACTTACCTAGTCGCGAAGAACATATATCAATGCTTCCGAGGTATCCATGACTGCTTGGCTTACTGACTCTGGGGACATTATCCCTGCAAACCTTATATCTTTAAAATTTCTTCCTGTTGCCAGATAATGCAATGTCAGTGCCAATTTTTCTCTTACCGAAATTGCACTTCTCATTATTGTATGCTTCTTGGACAAAAATGGTGTAACTAATTCAAGAGGATTTTCAAAACAGTTATCAGACATGCGGAAATAATTTTGATCTTTGTATCATTTCCTGAAAAAGAAACAGAGATCAAACTTTCTCTTTGACCTTCTGATTTTCGGTTGCGTCAAGATTAATTTCCATTTTGCATCTAGTCATTCAACCCTCCTCCTCTAAAAAACTACTCTAACCATGGATCCCTACGACCCATTGGCATCCTAGCAACGATGTTTAAAATACTTCCCCAGCATCAGCGCAAGAAAAGTTCCCGCCGACTTTGATAAGTATTTCATTAAATTGTTTGGAGACTTTCGAAGATTTATTAGGTCTTTTGTAGGAGAAAATGCGATGCTAATTGGAGAGGATTTAATTAATTTGTATTAAATTTTATTGGCGCAATGCCTTGATCAGGCGCTCCGAATGAAACAACTGCAATGGAGGTCTACTCAGAGCTTTGCGTTGTAAGACGACGCTAAGTTATTTGCGACTACAGTATATTCAGATAAGAGATAGACCGGATGTAAACAAAAGGTTCGGGTGATTTTCACGCTAACGCCGCCGTCTCGACGTAAAACAGGAGCCCTCATTGGTCAATTCGCAATTAAATGCCTATGCCGAGCGGCAGAGCAGTCGTATCAAGGCAGAGTCACATTCAGGTTCAGACGTGTTACGTATGTCGTGTGCATCATTGCAATTTGATATTTCTTTGGACGTTTTCGTTTGTTATCTTATTAAGTTGTTGAGTTTGTCGTTGTTATTGTTATACCTTGTTATTGATTGTTATTGTTATCAACTGCTTGCGCAAAATGCCCAGTAGTACAGATACTGCCGATGAAGTTGTAAACTCCTGTAGTCCACCTAGGAAACGCTCTAAAAAAAGACACCTGACTGCAGAAATGAAAGAGGTAATTTTGAATATAAATAAGATCGAGCGCGAGGAGAACGAGGCATCAACCATCAAAGAAATTGTTGTGAAGGTTTCTCACAAAGTTGGGGTGTGTCGCGCATCAGTGTTTAATGTGTTAAGACAATACAAAAAAAATCACACCTTTTCTGATCCAATGACCAGTAAACATCGCAAAAGTATTGTTAAATCATTGGATGAAGCTGATAAGCATGCGATTAGGAGGAAAGTGCACGAATTCTTCTTTAGGAATGAAATACCTACTATAGATAAAGTACTGCAGGAGGTAAATGGAGATACAACGTCGCCAAATTTCAAACGATCAACTTTCCATGCGTTACTGAAGCATTTAAATTTCAAATGGAAAAAACGGGGTCGTAATAGTGTACTACTGGATAGAGAAGAAATTGTGCTATGGAGGAGGGATTATTTAACAAAAATTGGGAAATATAGAAATCAAAACAGGAAGATTTATTACCTTGATGAAACATGGGTAAACGCAGGACACACTACAAGTAAAGTATGGGTTGATGATTCTGTAACTTCACCCAGGAGGGCCTTTCTAGATGGACTGTCCACCGGATTAAAAAATCCAGCAGGTAGATACGAGTAATAGACAACAATCGGATGTTTTTCAAACCTTGGGAACAAGGTTCTAAACATTAATTCCAGGGGGCAGATAAAACATATTACAAGTAACAAAACTTTTATAACTTTCGATAAAATGCGTGAATGTTTTATTGTCATTTTCGTTTGTTAGAACTTTTTTAAGCCATGTTTTTATGTGTTTCCGATATTTCAATAATTTTTTAATATAATCTTAAAATATGTCGAATATTATAAACTTAAAAAAAGTTACTAAGTTTTATATTGTGTACCGTTCCTAATATTTCTAATCATTTTAATTCATACTTTAAGCTTTATAAAGTTATAATTTGTTAATATTAATATTTGCGCGTATTTCAGGTTCCTGATCATTCATTTTTTAGAGGTTTATAACTTTAAATTAAATTGTGAAGCGCTGAGTAATCATACCACGTTCAATATTCTTTCTTTCAATGTGACTAAATAATCCCAATTATAGCAATCTGATACTCATGTCTCAATGTTTTTTCGCTGAATGTGATGAAAACATTTGAAAAAGGTTCGGTTATTGAAATAAATCTACACCAGTTAGTACTTCGATTTCCAGGTAAAGGGAAAAGGCTCATTATCTGCCATATTGGCAGTGAGGATGGATTTGTTGTTGACGGTCTGTGGTGCTTTGAGTCTAAGAAAACTGGAGATTACCACGAGGAAATGAATGGCGAATCGTTTGAACAGTGGTTTTCAAAAATTTTACCGAACTTAGAGGAAAACGCAGTAATTGTGTTGGATAATGCGCCTTATCATTCTCGAAGAATGGAGAAGGTCCCAACAACGGCTTCAAGGAAAGTTGATGTTCAAAATTGGCTCCGCTCGAAAAATATCAACTTTGAAGAAGCAATGCTGAAAGTACAATTAATAAGAATTGTCAAGGATCACAAGGCGGAATATCAAAAATACGCCATTGACGAAATGGCAGCAAGTCAAAATAAAACTGTGCTCCGTTTACCTCCATACCTCAATCCCATTGAGCTCATATGGGCAGAGGTTAAAAATTATATAGCTAAGCACAATACAACTTTTAAATTTTGTGACCTCAAAGGACTTTTTAAAGAAGCACTAGAATTAATAACAGCGCAAAAATGGGAAAACTGTATTAAGCACGTGAAAGACAAAGTTGAAAAGAGAATGTGGGAACTGGACAATATTTTAGAGTAACAAGTCGAGCCATTCCTTAGTGACGTTGGTGCTTCAGGCAGTAGCGATGATGAAAGCTCATCAAGCTCATCTTTCCAATAAAAGATGTCGTTCATCAAATTCGGTAAGTTATAAGTAATCTACTAAAGTAAGCTACTGTATTTTTTAATTAATTATTGACATTTTTGAACCCATTTTGGCAAAACCTATTCAAGAATCTACTTTCTGACAATGTTCAACCATGCACATTTTTTTACGTTTTGAAAGTTTTAATTTGGTTACATATTTACCTAGAAATCAAAAAATATACTAATCAATGTTCTAAAAGCAATTTTAAGAGATATACGATTATTTTTAATTTATGCTAATTTAAACGCCATTTTGAGATTATATTTGACTGTATTTCACCAAACATCAGACGGCATCCGAAGCTGGAAGTCGAGGCGAAAATTTTGAAACCCTTATGTATATTTACATCATTATATATTTCTTACCCCACCCCCACATGATCCTATATCCATCACCAATCGTATACACATCGAATTGTGCTAATTTACTACAAAGTTACGCAAAGCAGCATCTACTATCTAAAATATGTACTGCGTGACTCTTAATACGTCCCTGCCGAATGTTACAGCGTTCGATGATCACGTGGTCTTGTTTATGTCCGGTCTATCTCTTATCTGAATATACTGTAAAGTTGGAGGAAGCTGCTACAAATATCTGCTGGCGAATAGCTTAGTTGAGCCTTAGCTTCGTGAATAAAATGCTAAGACGTGGAAGTACATCTGATTCGGCAAAATTTCGCGAAGCTAAGACCATGGTATAAGGAATGATGTGTTCGAGAGATTGTTTTACCATTCAAATGGCAGGCGACAAAGGAATAATTTGCTTGAAAATACCGTTTTCTTCGTTATTGACCAACTTTTCCTAAAACCCGTTTTAAAATAAAATAGTTCCATAAAAGTGACGGAACAGTACCAAGAACCACAAAAATAAATATCTGTAGTCGTAGTCCATTCACGCCCAGACAAAACACAACATACCCAAAGGCGAGATTGTACAGGTCCGTATCTTCCTCCATGGTCTTGGAATAGTCTAACAAAATAAATGATTATTTTTATAGAAAGAAGTACACATACTTTTCTCAATTCCTTATTCGCTGGAACTACTTGAATCATCGTCCGAATGGTTAATATTGGTTCAATTGGAATATCAACCATATTGTCCTGATCCCACATCTTTGTTTCGATTGTCTCTTCAACGTGACGGATGCAATCTTCCCAAGGGTTTGCCGTCACTAGGTTGACAGCTTTACAAAACAAATTTTTCACGTCACAAAATTTGAATGTTCTATTGTTTGAAGCCACGTAGTTTCTTATATTTGCCCAAATGATTTCAATGGGATTTAATTCGCAGTGATAAAGAAGTAGCCTTAACACGGTCTTATTTTGGTTTTTAGTTATTTCGTCAATAACATTAAGATTATATTTATAATTGTGCTGCCTGACTAGATGAATAAGTTCGGTTTTGACCATATTTTCATTGAAACTAATGTCTTTTGATATAAGACATTGTTGAATTTATGCCTTTCTTGTGGACATTGTGGGATTTTTTCTAGTTTTCTAGTGTGGTAACAGCATTATCAAGTACAATGACGGCATTGTCGTCAAGCTTTGGGAGCGTTACTTCAAATTCTAATAAGCTCCCGTCCATTTCTTCATGGTAGTGGGTCGTTTTTTTTACTCAAATGCCCATAAGGCAGTAGGCAAAATGCCCTCTTCACTGCCAATGTGACAGATAACAAATCGTTTTCTATTTCCTGGAAATAACTGTCTCATATAGTATCCAAGAAAACTAATAGTAATGCAAGCAGAGTATCTAACAGGTGTTGGTTTGAAATCTATTAGATATAGCTAAGTTGTCGGCTCATAGATTCAGTCTACTTGACACCATTTTTACAACACAAATGACGAATTGGTTAGATCAACGACGTACCTGGCGGATTCTTTATGCCAGTGGTTAGTCTATCTTGCTGTTTTAATTGTAGAGTCTTCCCATACTAGAGGTTTTGTATGTCTTGTATTTATCCAGGTTTCATCCAAGTAGTAAATCAATCTTCTTGCCCTGGTCGCAGTATTTCTTCATTGATTTTAAATAACTTCACAGGGATCTCGAAACGAGAACACTAATTTGCTCGACATGTTCGAGCGATAAGTGTTAAATGCTATACTGGAGCACCCCTCCCTCCATTGATGCTCTGTTGTTCTAGGTCAGCTAAACGGAACAATCGGACCTTTACTTTTCACTTTTGTTTGAGTCTTGCACTACAAGGACTACAGGATCCTCCATTCTAGTAGTTTCTAGAATAGGATATGCCAAGAGAGACTTACTTAT